GAAGGGCTAAAAATGTGCAAAGGTCTTGGCATGAGACTCTGCATCTGCAACACCCCAATCACTGAAGTTCTAATCAATGAGTCAGCCTTGCAGAAGGTTCAGTTTGAAGGTACAGCTTTTTCATGAGAACTTTTTTTTCCCTACATCAGATATGTAAAAACTAAGGACTGGTTCCTTTGTACAGTGAGGTTTTTTTGTTACACGGCAAAACTTTTCCTAGGGAGACACAACAAACAGGTCTACTCACCCCGACAGAGAAACTCTGAAAGACCAAAGTGCAGATACTGAAGAGATGTTAGCCCACTAGAATGAAACCGTTGTCCCCTTTATAACAGGACTGATCCTAACAGGGCCAGTTGTCTTTTGTTGTTGTTGTTGTTTTCCAGGGGCCAGTTTGCTAAGACCTCTGCCCCATATTACCCCACCATCCTACACTGACTCATGTCTGGCTTCAATCAGACCCTCAGGAAGTACATCCAGTTTGATAGCCAATCAGGGTGCTCCCCAGCCACAAGCCAGAACTTTCTTTGTTAATTTCAGTCAAACAGACCCCTGACACTGCAAACACGGTTGCTGACCAGATGTCATGAGCCAATCATAAAATGATCCCTATACTGATAAGGGTCTACACCCAATCACTTCAAAGTGCACTTAGCCACAGCTGGAATTCCCCCTAATCCTGCTTAAAAGGAGCCTGCGAGCTTCTCTCAGGGTCGCCATTTGCCATTGTGTCAGATGGTTGACCCCTGCATGCTGGAATTTCTTATTAAACACTCTTGTTGATTGCATACATGACTGGTGGTCTTTTATGGAACTTCTTGTGGACCCTAACAAGAGCATGTGGCTCTGGCAGGTCTTGCCCTTCTCCCCATTCCCTCTGTTTGCTAAAAACCATTAGATTACATTCCCTTATTTGGCCACTTCTTCCTCTTGAGGCTGACTTCCAAAGTCCTGCAATCAGAAGCCCCCTTTTGTTCACCTAATTAACATACCCAATTAAAATTAAATACCTCATCCTAACACAGGGTTTCCCCCTTTACATTTATAAACTGCCATTTGCTTATGTGACACGTCTGTCTCCCCTCTGGGACAAACACCCCTGCCCCCTTTCCTTTGTCCCCTTCCCCTTCTCCCTCATTTCCCTACCTACTTTACCGCTGCATCCTAGTCCATTCTAACACAGACCTCCCCATTTTATCCTCTTAAAATTATATCTGCAAGGCCATTTGCTGCTGTTTTTCTGCCTAAGTCAGTGAGCAGCCACTTTAACTTTTTTCCCTCCTTAATAAAGGATGTCTCCATGAAAACGAGTGTTTGAGTGTGGCTGGTTATTGGTGAAATTATTAAGACCACTCCACGTAGTTAAAAGGATATTTATTTAATGGCGTAATTCACAAATTAAGAAATAGGTAGGTCGCAGGGTCTGGGGAAGGTGTATCGAAGTCCAGCGGTGTTCTCTGGAGCTCTGCTCGGTCCACCTCTACAGTTCAGGGTCCCGGCACAGAGAGAGCGCTTGCCCATACAGCTCTCCGGTCTCTAGGTGCCTCCCCTGGCCCCGCCCCGTAGGCGTGACAGTTGCCAGAGTCTCTGTGGGGGTTGGAACTTCCAGATCCAAGCTGGAATGGCTACCCACTACAGCTGGTGCCTAATCCAGGGTCTAGAGGGGGGTTCCTTTCAGATACCACCAAAGTCCAACTTGGTGAACCATGAGTTTTATTGGAGTTACTTACAGGAAATTACTCAAAGACAGCTGCATCACCATGGCCCACCCCAGCATGGGTGACAGCTCACAAAAGTTGGGAAACCTGGAGCACACTGCACAACATGCAGATGAGAAGACTGAGCAGATGCCATAATAGGCTACTCAGTCTTTTCTCAGAGATCATTTCTCAATTTCAGTTTCCTGAGACTGAGCAAGAAGTTTCTGGGAAAGCCATGAACAAAAGACAATTAATCACTGATGCCCCTGACAGCAGAGACAAGGGAGATAGGACACTCCAAGCCTGGGCCACTGAGTCAGCCCCCACAGTCAGTGTGTGCTAGGCCAGCCAGCCTCCACAGTAGCTCAAGGACAAAGGCAGGGACTTGTCCAGGCCTGCCCCAAAAGGGAAAACTGTACCCTGACCAGCCTTTAACTAGCCCTGGCCAGTTGGAACATACTGATATGGTTGTCACTTGCTTGGGTCAATCATATCTAAAATGACCTAACTGTCTTAGGATCTCCCCTTGGCTATGCTTAAAAGGAGCTCACACTTCCCTCTTGTGGGTCTTCACCATCTTGCCTTTGCATGGGATGGCAGGCCCTAGCATGCTGGAAGCTTTCTCCAGATAACAAATGCTCTTGCTATTTGCATACTTGGATGGTGGTCTTTTGTGAGACTTCACCAGGACCCTAACAGTAGACAGCTCAATAGGTTGGAGAGTGTCCTTTCCTAATGACCCTTGTCTAAACCTCTCCTAGGCAGCTCAGCTGGTTTCTGCTTCTATGCTGCTGAGCTATTGAATCTTCTTGACAGTTTAGAGGCCTGGGAGTCTTCTTTGCATCTTGATTCTGCTTTCTCTGGCAGTGAGGGGCGTAGTGAATCTGGTCAGTTTCAGGAACTTCCTGAAGCTATATCCCGTTTAAAGTGCTTCCCTGCAGGATACAATATTTCAAGCTCATCAGAAACTACCACACAACAGGTTTACATGTGGGGCTCTAGCAATCTGCAGCAAGAAGCTTCCACTAGGTAACTAATCCCCCAAAAACCCAATGGTTTATAATAATATTTATTTTCACGTTCACTGGAAAATATTATTTTCAAGTTATCTCAATGGACGTGAAACTGGAAACCATGTCCTGTGAGGAATTATTGCAGAAAACAGAGGTGTTCAGAAGGGACTTGAATCTTACCATACTAACAAAGCTTTCTGGCTTGGTTTGTTTGACATCTCCCAGGAATACCTTAAAGTTTTACTTGGTGATTTCTAAGTATAGGAGTCCAAGAAACTGTGGAAGGAAGACCCCAGACTCAAATAGTATGCAAGAGCAAAGAGTGTTTATTTACCAGCATATGCGGGGTCGTTCATCTGTATAATATGGCAATGACCCGGGACAAAGGTGCATAGGTCCTTTTAACCATAGCTAGGGGAATTTCAGGAACAGTTAGGTCATATAAAGCATGATTGGTTAAACAAGCAGCAGCTACATTAATATATTGTTGATTGGCTGAGGTTTTAGTTTTTCTATCTTTGGGCATACTGGGGCAAGTCTGGGACTGTTTCAGGGGGTTACAGGAACTGTCCTTTTTTGGTCACTGTCTTGTGGGGACTGGCTCAGGTCTCATGCGTCCTTCCCTCCTCATCTCTGCCATCAGGGGTGGTGTTGACTAACGGCCCTTTGTTTGGAAAAAAAAAACTTGTTTGCTCTTAAAAAACTGAAACCTGGATCCAGTTGTAAAATGAGGGAAATATAAATTTCACATAAGTGATTTCTAAGGGAGAATCTTTCATCTAATTGTGGGTCAGATACCACAACTAAAGCTGACTCTATTGGCAGCTAGACAGATTGACTGGACTTGGTTCTAGGTGGAGCTGGATTGGATTGGTTTCTGAAGGAATAGCCAACCCATGAGAAATCTTTCATTGCTTTTCACTGAACTGTCCCAGGCAAACCCCCTGCACAAGCACAGGTCAGCTCTCCACCCACAGTGTGCTATGCTTCCCTGTTTGAACTTAAGGATGTATTTTATCAATACTTTGAGGATATTCTCTATCATACCATTTAAAGTTCCTTATAAGAGATGTTTAAAAAACTTGTTCCATCATCCATTGCCAAGAAACACTTGGTTTTCCACTGAAGAACTAGTTTGCTTTTTCCTTTTAAAGACTTTTTGGTAGGAAAAGACAGTGATAAATTCATGTGAGATCTATGCAAGAATGCTTGGAACACTATGGCATTAATAAGTAGTCATGCATAAGTTAAGTTACCTTGATGGATGAGAAACTGGAAACCATGTCCTGTGAGGAATTATTGCAGAAAACAGAGGTATTCATAAGGCATACTTGCAGGGGCACATCTTACCACACTAACAAAGCTTTATGGCTTGGTTTGTTCGATATCTCCCATATATACCTTAAAGCTTTACTATGTAATTTCTAAGTGATTTCTCAGGGAGAATCATACTTTACTCTCTCTCTGAAATGCCAGAATCTCAGCAGAAAGGATATGGTCATCAGTGACACTTTTCTTACCCTTTTTCCCTGCCCATCAAGGGTACCTGGGGATATCTACCATGAAATTGGAATTCTCCATTCCCCTCCCCCAGAGTATGACTATGAGAGCTGATATTGAGAGCTCTAAGCCCAAAGTGATCTTCTGTCATTGTCTTAATTGGCTATCATGACAAACATGCTCTGAAACATGACCTACCAGCACTCAGTTCCTTGAAAATAGTGATGATTCCTACATATAGTTATTTGCCTTTGGGCCATCCAGGAAGCATTCATTACACATCTCATTCTATACCCAGTGAATGAGAATGGTTCCCATAGGCTTAAATATTTGAATTCTTGGTCCCCAGTTGGTGGAACTGTTTGGGAAGGATTAACAGGTATGGTTTTGTTGGAGGTAGTCTGTCTGTCACTAGGGGCAGGTTTTGTGGTTTCAAAAGCCCATGAAATTCCAGTTGGCTCTCTGCCTCCTAGTTGAGGATAAGAATGTAAGCTTTTAGCCACCACATAGCACCATTCCTGCCTGCCTGCTGCCATACCCCCCACCATGATGGTCATGGACTCAGCCTCTGAAACTGTAAACCCAATAAACTGTCTCTTCAATAAGTCACCTTAGTCATGGAATCTCTCTACAGCAACAGAAAAGTAACTAAGACACCAAGAATGAAAGAGAGTGAAGTTCAATGTTTTTGTCATGGCAGAAGTCATCAGCTCTCAGAGGTTCACGTGGAAGCAGACCAAGCCTCTTAGAACTTCTGCTTTGAAGTCACACAGGGTCCTTTCTACTCACATTCTATTGGCCAAAGTATATCACATGGCCATGCCAAGTGAATGGGGCACTGAAGTTCATCCTGCACACAACATCCCAGCAATAGCACAATGTATAACAGTACCCAAGGGTCACAAAGGACAGTCTATTGATTCAATCTGCAGAAGTACCAGAGAACAGAAGAAAGTGGGCCAGAAGCCATGCTGATCTAAAGACTATGGAGCCTCCACTGGACAAGGTCAGAAAGGCATGCTCATCAGAGACACTTCAGTCAAAAGTGAGTATTTTGTGGAATTTGAAGCTTTGTGGAATCTTTGAAAGCTGGGTGTAGAGGAGGAGGTCCACTGTCCTCCTGTACCACTCTTTTTAAAGTAGAGTTTCTCCCTGGATCTGGAACTCAGGTAGGTGTGTAGAGGGGTGTGTGTGTGTGTGTGTGTGTCTTACCCCTGGCAGGCGGTGAGCCTCAGTGGCCTTCCTGTTTCCACTCTCCTAAGTGCTGGGATTATAGGCCTGCACAGAACCATGCCCGGCTTGTTACATGTCTTCACACTTGCTCTTAAGCACTGAACCATTTCTCCAGCCACACCTTTCGGAACCTTATAGTATGGTGCAGCTATACTTCAACAGGAGTAAGAAGACATTAGACCAACAGCAGCAACACTAAAAAGACTCATTACATTGATTACCTAGGCGTTCTGCTGATAAATAAAGCAATTCCTAGCAGCAATCCATGCTGTCAAATTACTGCAGCCAGGCACTGTCTCAGGGATTTGCTTCAGCCACTCCCCATTCAGATGAAGTTGTACTGAGAAGCAAATCACTGAATAACTGAGGGAAAGCCCATGCAGTGTACGATTCTTCCCCCTTCAGCAGTTGAGGAAAGCCAAGCAGACAGAAATGGCTTGACTTAGAGAACGACTTGTCTGCAATGCATTGTTCCAAAAAGGTCCCTGCACCTCTTCAGAGAGTAAGCCTTCTTAGCAAGTAAGTCCCTAAAAGGTGGGTCCCATGGCAGTAACTGAAAGCATGGAACTGTTGTTTCAAAATAAGAATTCAAGGGGCTGGAGAGATGGCTCAGTGGTTAAGGGTACTTATTGCTCTTGCAGAGGACCTGGGTTCAGTTCCCAGGACTCACATGGTGGTTCAGAAACCACCTGTAACTAGAGTTCCAAGGGATCCAATGTCCTCTTTCAGACCTCCATGGGCATGTAGTGTACATACATACAGTGTGCTAGTTGGGTTTTGTCAACTAGACGTAAACTTAGACATATTTGGGAAGAAGGAATGTCACTTGAGGAATTGCCTTCTTTAGACTGGCTTATAGGCAATTCTGTGAACCATCTTCTTGATTAATGATTGATGTGAGAGGGGCTAGCCTACCAGGTGATATCCCTGGCAGGTGGTCCTGGGTGGTATAAGAAAACGATCTAAGGAACCAACCAGTAAGCAGCACTCCTTCCTGTCTCTGTTTCAGTTCCTGCCTCCAGGTTCCTGCCTTGAGATCCTGCCCCAACTTGTCTTCATGATGGACTTCCACTGTTAAGCTTAAATAAATCCCTTCCTCCCCAAGATGCTTTTGGCCATGGTCTTTTATCACAGCAATACTAAGACATACGTGCAAACACTCATACACATAAATAAATCTTTTTGAAAAACATTAAAAGATTCAAATGGGTCACTGAATAGCTTCTTCTTACAGGTACTTAAATATATTGGAGCTTTCAATGACTAGAACTTAGTATTGCTTTTTTTCTTACATCAGAACACACAGTCACTTATGAAAGAAGTTGAGGTGCCAACAATCACCCAGAACCCTTGTCTCTTCCTGACAACCTTCTCACTTTTCTGTTGGAAACTGCCATTCCCCTCAGAAAAGTTAAAATGAGACTGTCAATCAACTTAAGCTGTCACTCCTGTTTTTAAAAGATTAAACTTACACATCAAAAGAGCTGTCCATTAAGACAACAACAAAGAATTTCTAACCTCCCCTCTCAACATTTTAATTCCTGTCTGATGGTTAAGCCTTCTTTGTTCTTGTCAGGTGTTAACATTGCAAAGATGTGTCTGTCATGCTGTAGCTTATGAATTAAAAGCAGGGCACATCTATGCCATGGCATTTGTGCTTGTACACACATGATGGGCATGCACACACATACAGAAACAATACATTTAAAATATAGATTTAAAGAAAGCTTGGGGCTGTAGGCAGAGTTTCTCTATGTCCCAGCAGTCGCTCCCACATAACCACACAGAGACTTAATATTAATTATAAATGCTCAGCCGATAGCTCGGGATTGTTGCTATCTCTTACAACTTAAATCAGCCCATTTCTGTTCATCTTTGTGCTGCCACAAGGCTCATTAACCTCATCTATGAACTTCTCATGTTGCTTCTTCAGCAGCTCCAGCCTCCTCAGACTTCATCCTTCTTCCCAGCATTCTCTCTGTCCCCAAAATCCTGCCTAGCTATCAGCCAATCTTTTAAATTTTTATTTATTTTACAGTGTTCTGCCTGCATCCCTGCAGGCCAGAAGAGGGCGCCAGATCTCATTACAGATGGTTGTAAACCATTATGTGGCTGCTGGGAATTGCACTCAGGACCTCTGGAAGAACAGTCAGTGCTCTTAACCTCTGAGCCATCTCTCCAGGCCGAGCCAATCAGCTTTTTAATAACAATGAGAGCAACACATTTTCACCGTGTACAGAAGGATTATTCCACAGCGTGGGGCTGTGGAGACAGCTCAGGGGCACTGCTCTTAGGACCAGAGTTTGGTTCCCAGCATCCACATCAGGCAGCTCACAACTAACCTGTAACTTCAACTCCAGAGGTATACCACGCTTACCCTTCAGGAATAAACATATACTCATGCACATGTCATTTAAAATAATAAAAATAAATCTTTAAAAAAAAATTCTTTCCTTGATCAGTTAAGCTCTCAAGTCCTCTCCTGGGTGAGGCAGCTCTGCCTAGGTGCCCGCCCCATCCTCTGCTTGCCCAGCCTAGTTTTAGCAAGAATCCCCCAAAGTTAGTTTAGCACTCTTGGTATCTGATCACCCTGGCCTGCTTTCAACAAGAATCCTGTTCAGTGAGTTTAGCAAAGACTCCCTCAACCTTTGTTAATTCCTCTCAGTCTTTTTCCATCCCCTGACATCCACACCCCTTCCTCTTGGCTATAAATCATCAGCCCCCAAGTAGAACTCAATCTCTCTTAGTGTTTCAATAAGTACCAAGTGGGTTTTTGTTTGTTTGTTTGTTTGTTTTAAACAAGCGCCCAACAGAAATCTTTTAACTGTATAATTTCCTGGAATAATGAGGGTTCCGAGGTCTCTTGGAATATTCTCCACAGAGCTGCAGGCAAACAACTCGAAAGACCGTCTACACTGCTGTAGACATCCAGGGGATGACATGCTTGGGAGTTAATGGGCAACCCTACAAACATCTTCAAGTTCGCGTCTCTGGAATGCCAAGGAACAGCGTTCTGGCCGGAATAAAAACGCTGAGCCCCGTCACCCCTCCGCCTCCTCGGCGGGCTAGAGTCCCAGTGCATGTCTGGACGCCTGAGCGCCGCGCTCACCGGTGCTCCGCCGAGCAAACGCCCACCTCGGCGGCGGCCAGCGAGCCAACCACCGCGGGGCACCGCTCCCGGAGCACCGCTCCCGAGTTCTCCGGGAGCGGGGGCCCGCGGCGCCGACGTCGCCGGAAGCACCGCCGAGGCCTGCTGACGTCAGCCGCCCTTAGCCCGCCCCCTAACACCCTCGGCCCCGCCCTCCCCTCCCCTCCCACCACGTGTCCTCGCTCGGTCGCCAGAGGCCGCGCTGG